AAATCCCTTTCATAAAAAACTATGATAATACGTTAAGGACCTCTCTGAAAATCACCATGGTGAGTGAGTCTCCTGGTTAAAAATTATTATTATTATTAAGGTTAAGAAAGGTTGTAAGAAATACTAGCTAAAAGTGAAAATATAAAAAAGCTACTTTACGACCAAGTAAAAGAAAAAATGTTTCTTATCTGAAATGCTATGAAAACAAGCAGGCGAACACATTTGTTACTTTCACTTATATTATTTACATGATTTAGCCTTGCTGAAAACTTTTTTGTTTTCCTTCTTTTCTTGCATCCCCTTTTGTGGTATATCACTGGCAGTTTTGGTCTGTTCCAACATTTCCAAAGACAAATTATTAGAAAAGAAAGGAGGCCCCCCAAAATGAGACATAAGGGTAAACAAACAGTTTTTTCCCTCGGCCTAATAAAGCATGGTTCTCGTATGTGGCTGATGTTGAACCCGAGTTAACTTCACAGGCGTGCCGGCAGCAAGGTTGTCACTAAGATTTCAAGTTGCCGGGTGAATATATCAAGTACAAATATAGGTGGGGAATCAAACAGCTAGGGATTTTTTTTGGTGCTATTTCCAATGAAAGTAGCTGAGGGCCGTGTTCATAGTAGGCAGGGGAAACCACGCACCCCCAGCTCTTAATGACAGTCCTGCGGCAGTGTACGAGAGATTTACCAACCCTACCCCTCACGGTTTTGTGACGTTGAACAGCACTACCAAATTAGGGCTAGGGCTACCAAATAAGGTAATGAGCATGTGCGTGCTAAGTAAGCGAGAACGGGACAAGTAAAAAAAAGTATATGGAGAGCGCGAGTTTTCCTGGGAGGTTTTTTCATCGAGTTACGTGAGAGTTTGTGAGTCGGATTGAAGCGGAATAAACCAGGAAACCGTGTTATTGTGAGTTCTATGGGCTGTGTTAATGTTCAGCTCATTTTTGGTGCAGAGACCAGGACGTGCTGAAGAAATACACAACGCTAGAGAGACAGTTTGAGAAGCGAAGTGATCCTTTCTCGGAGTCAAAACAAACATGAGCCACAGCGAAGAACCGAGCGACGAAGAACAACGTCTCATAAAAGAGATCGACAAGGAAATTGATAAGGTCAAGTACTTCATGGAGGAGATAGATGAACTGATCGAAATTCAGGATTATTCGGAGATGGAAATAGTCAACAAACGAGCTGTGAAAATCATTACAAAGCTATCGGATCTTATTTCACAGACAGAAGAATTAAAAATTGAGCGAGGATTGTCGCCTCGGACGGTGAGACAGTGGAGAAAAGACATTAAATCAAAGTATGCAGCATCTGTTAGCGAAAACGAGAGGCTTAGAAAGTGTTTAGAAGATAAAGAGGAAGAAATTACGCGACAAAAAGAAGTTTTGAAGCGGGAACAACAGTTGGAAGATGAGCAGCGATTGTATGTGTTACATGAAAAACAACAGGAACATGAGCATGAGTTGTGGAAGGAAAAGCTTGAAGCTGAATTACTTGTGGCAGAAAAGAAATTAGAAATGGAGAAAACAGCTGTTTCCAGCACCACAAAGTTACCGAAATTAAAGATAACGCCGTTCAAGGGTACTGCCGGCGACTGGATTAGATTTGAAAACATGTTCCTGACGCAAGTTGATGTGAAGTCGATTTCCGACGAAGAGAAATTCGGGTACCTTCTGGAATCCGTTAGCCCGAAGGTGAGAGACAGAGTTGCAAATTTAAAGCCTGAAACTGTTGGTTACAAGACAGCGTGGGATAGACTAAAGAAAGAATATGGGCAAACAAAGGTCGTCATGAATGCGCACATGGAAGAAATCATCAATTTATTTCCAGTCAAGGGCTCCAATTATTTCAAGGTGCAAGAATTCTACGAGAAACTGAGTAGGAACTATGACGCGCTTCAAACCCTCGAAGAAGGCCAAAAGTTACAAGGGTTTGTTATGACTACGCTCAACAAGTTACCTGACGTAAAGCCCGATCTAGTGAGAGTGGATGACAGTTGGGAGGAATGGTCCATGGAAGACCTGATTGATGCTCTGCAGAAGTGGCTTAGGAGAAATCACGTCGAAAGCAGCAAATGCGAAAAACATCTGTTCTCACAGAAGCAAGGAGATAAGCTGAAACCCTATTGCCTTTTCTGCCGAAAACAAGAGCACTGGAGTGAGGACTGTACCCTAGTAACAGCATTAGCGGACAGGAAGAAGTTCTTCATAGACCACAATTTATGCTTTAATTGTGGAAGGCAAAACCACAGAGCAGACCAGTGCCGTAGGCGTGGCTGCGCCAAGTGTAAACACAAACACCATAGAAGCATATGCGATAGACCGGAGAGGGAAAGCAGTAATCCAGATGGAGTGTCATTGACAGTCTACTCCAATTATGCAGAGGAGAAAGTGCTACCTGCGATTATTCCCGTCAGTATTGGGGGGCAAGTGCTTTGGGCTTACCTAGATACAGGATCTGGACGCAACTTCATTTCACGTGAAGCAGTCAAGTTGGTAAAGTTGAAACCGACACGTCACGAGACTCGCGAAATCTTGACAGTCAATGGAACCAAAGTCCAGACAATGCCAATCTTTGACACCCATATTAAGTCCCTGGACGGGAAATCATGCGAAGAGGTGGAATTCACTGGATCGAAGTTAGCTGATTTTACTACAGTGAGAAGGCCAGACATGAATCAGCTGAAGTTGAAGTACTCACATACACAAGACAAGCGGTTCTACATGACGTCCACAGGAGAACATCAGATACACCTCATTCTCGGAGACGGTGTTTATAGCAGAATAAGGACGGAGAGAGTATTCAAAGGGCACCCGGGAGAGCCGCTGGTAGAGGAGACAACGTTCGGTTGGGTGGTCCATGGGGGAGACGAATATGGGAGTGGAAGCAGCTGCATGTACATGAGAGAGGTTAATGACTATGAGAAACTGTACAGTTTGGATGTACTGGGAGTCGAGGACCGGGGAGAGAATGATCAGCTGGATGTTCTGCGTGACTTTAAAGAGAGTGTTGTCAGAAAGCAAGATGGAAGGTATGAGGTTGGTTTTCCTTGGATACCGGGAGCTACATTAACGAACACAAATGAAGCACTTAGCAGAAAGCGGCTTGAAAACGTGGAGAGAAAGCTTTCAAGAGATAAGAAACTGAAAGGAGAGTATGGTGGCATAATTGAAGAGCAACTCAGAGCAGGGGTAATCGAGGAAGCACCTCAGATTCCATCTGGAAAACGTGTGTTTTACATGCCTCACAAGCCAATTGTAAAGCAGAGTGCAGTTACGACTAAGGTTCGCATGGTGTTTGACGCAAGTGCTAAGCCCCAATGATTGCATGATTGCTAAGCATCAATGAT